CTGGTTATGCTGTCACTATCTAATATAGTATTTAGGATCCAGATGGTGGCACAGGGGCAAAATGCAGCACTGCAAAGCTGACCTAAATGGGGAAGGTTCTATGTTGGTGTCTAGAGACCTACCTGACTATGTTGGGCATGCATGTTCCCATGATCCATGGCTGACTGAGGCTGGGGTAGATTGCAGCATAAAGACCCAGTAGGGTCTTCTCTGCTTGTCTTTATCTCTTTCTGTCTCTTCTTTGTCTCTTTCTTTCTCATGCAACAAATACATGATTTGAAAAAGAATCCCAAAGGATGCCTTATAAAATATGAATTTTTTTTTTGAGAGGTTTTCACTATAGGGCGCGTGCGCTCGCCAGACAGAGAGAGACATAGAGACAGAAAGTGAGAAACCACCCCCCAGGGGGGATGGCCACATCGCAATCCCTTCTCCTCCATTCTCCTCTCGGGATCTTGGGCACGCACGCACATGCACCCGGTGTGAGTTCTAAGCCACCGGGTCCGGGATACAAACCGCGGTCGACTACGTGGGAATCTAGCAACATAGTCATTACGCTAACTGCTGGTTCTCTAAAATATGAATTTTGATATTGTACTGTAGGCATTGTAGTATAGTAGGAAAAACCATTGGATTTAGGACTTACTAAATCTGAAGCCTGCTGTACTTCAGTTCTTACCTCTGTGTTTGACCTCGTGTAAGCCACTTACTTGCTTTGAATTTACTTTTTCATCTGAAAATTGCTGAGCAGACTACATTTCTTTTTTTTTTTAAATAATTATTTATTTTATTTTTTATTTATTCATTCATTGATTTTTTTAATTTGACCAGAGAGAGACAGAGGGTAAGAGTGAGAGAGAGAGGAAGTGAGAAAGCAAGCCACCAGGTCCAGGACTTGAACCCTGGTTGGCCATGTGGGAGTGTCCAGTGCCTTAACCACTACACCACCTGCTGGTCCCAGCAGACTACATTTCTGATATTCTCTTCTATTTCTTGACATTTTGATTTGAGAAGCTCTTCAGTGTGTTGGCATTATTTTTAAATTGTTCCTTGTCAGTTTCCCAGAGTTGTGTATTTTTAAAAATAAGTATTATAGTCAAAGTAGGTAAGCTTGTAAATTCCTCAATATCTTCCTTCTCCTTCTTTCACGTAGCTATCAGATATTGTGAAAAATGTCAGTTGATTAAACCTGATCGAGCGCATCACTGCTCAGCATGTGATACGTAAGTAATACTTACTCACTTTCATTTAAACCTAACACTGGGAACTGGTGACAGGAGAATGGAAGGGGGAGAAACTGTGCCTTGTATTAGCAAAATACTTCATATTCTCCAATGATTTGCTGTGCATACAAGGCTAACAAAAATATTTATGTAAGCTGGAATCTACCCACAAGTAGCCTTTGATAATAATTTGTATACCAGTTATAAAATTTTAATATACTTTCTATGCTTGTACTTGTAGCATTGATGAACAAGTAGTAATAACACTTCAAGTTATCTTGAGAAAGATAACTGGATTTAAAAGGCCACAATGACAGTTTTTCCATTTTTTAAATTATTGTTGATGTTAAAATCTAAAATTAAAAATAAAAAATTTATTATTATTACTAAAATATCATTTGATGTGGTCTAAGGCAACTGGACTTGTTCATCTAAATTTCCAGTGTAAAAAAATCATGAGCTTTCAACTATGAAAATACTTCTATTATAAAATTATCATAAATTATTTCTAACCTCATGTTTCTGGACTGTTTCTGTAGTAGTTAAAAGGAAAATTTAAAATTAAATCAAAGAAGATGAAGAGAAATTAGGGAATTTTTCTGCATGTATTTTCTTATGCTTATTTGTTTCTTAGATGTATTCTTAAGATGGATCATCACTGTCCTTGGTATGTATTAAAAATAGGGGAAATCTCATAAGGGGGTAGCGAAGGGGGAAAGAAAAAATTTAGAATGATTTACATTAGTATTCTTAACTTTTGAAGGTCAGTTTAATTTCTCATAGATATTAAGATTGGTCTGTTTTTATTTATGTATACACATTTATGTACATATTCATATTAAATGTTTTCCTTTCAAAATATCTTATGTTATTCATCCAAATAATGATGTATTGAGAATTAACATTTATTTTCCAATTTCTTGTAGAATTTATTTAAAACACACATCCTTAGTTAAGATACTGCTCTTTACCTCCAAACAACCCATTTCTAAGTGATGATTATGTTGCTTGATTTGTCTTATTTTTTATTATGGAAAAAATCTATAACATTAAATTTATCATCTTAACTATTTCTAAATGCAGTTCAGTAGTGTTAAGTTTACATTGTGCAATCTCCAGAACTCTCTTATCTTGCACAACTTAAATTGTTCTCGTTAAACAATTTCCATTTTCCCTATCCCACCAACCCTTAGCAACTCTCCATTCTGCTTTGTATTTCTGTGAATTTGTGATTTGTCTTATTTTTAATAGTGTAACTTTCTTTATTTTTCTAGGGTGAACAATTGTGTGGGATTTTCTAATTACAAATTCTTCCTGCTGTTTTTATTATATTCCCTATTATATTGCCTTTTCGTGGCTCTAACAGTTTTAGAGTACTTTATAAAATTTTGGACGGTAAGTCTTTTTTCTCTATCTTACATGTTTATAAGACTTTTTAAGATGCAATAATTTTTTAATAACTTCTTTTAATTACCATAGAGCACATGCACTAGCCAGAGAGAGACAGAAAGACAGAGAGAGGGAGGGAGAAATATCCCCTCTCCCATGGGGCATGGTCACTCTATAGACACTTTTCGTCTATTTCCCCATCATGTTGGGATTTGGGACATGCATATGGTCATGCCTGGCATTTTTTCATACTCTCTGGGATGGGATTTGAATTGCGGTCAGTCATGTGGGATCTGACTCCCCTAACCACTAGGCTATGGGCTGGCCCTAAAATGCTATTATTCTAAAGAATTACTTTATTCTTTATTACAAATAGATAGACTCATTTTAATTTTACTAGTTAAAGTTTATAATGAATTAGAGAATGGACAGAGCTATAATTGTACCTGCATATTCTTACATTTATTTATAAATAAATGTGTGTTAAATAAGATACATTGAGTTTCTCTTAGTGATACAAACTATTTTTAGCCATACTCTATGGCATATAAAATGTTGGGATTTGGGACATGCATATGGTCATGTCTGGCATTTTTTAAGGGAAATAATTGCTTTTCTTTGAGTTGGTGAGATTTATTGCAGTTTCACAGTAGGAAAAGTGATATCCTTGAGCCTGCTAGGTCATGGTGGTTAAGGTGACTGGATCCCACATGGGTGACTGCATGGTTCTAGTCCCAGACACAGTCCCAGGCCCAGCAATTTGATCAGCACTCTGGGCGTATGTGCATTCATGCCAAGGAGTCCCCAGAGGAGGATGGAGGAGAAGGGACTTCTATGTAGCCATATACCCAGGGGGTGGTTTCTCATTTCTCTCTCTCTCTCTCCGTCCCACCCCCACATGCACCCTATAGCAAAAAACTAAAAAATAAATGAATAAAATTACATTCTCAACCCCTGGCAACCACTAATCTGCTTCCTCTCTATATTGATTTTATGACTTTTTTAAGATTTTTTTTGCCATAGGGCATGTGCACTTGCTGGAGAGACAGAGAGAGAGGGAAAGTGAGAAGTCGCCCCCCAAGAGGATGACCACTCTACAGTCTTCTCCTCTTGGGACTTTTGGGCACCCACACACACACCTGGCATATTTTTTTAGCTGTCAGTTCTGGAACTCAAACCTCGGAGTCGGCCGTGTGATATCCAGTGCCTTAACTTCCATGCCTCTTCCTGGCCCTTACCAACATTTTTTAAATGGTAAATGACTGAAAGTAAGCTTATGTTTTATCAAGAGGAAACTAGTAAAACTGTGATATATCTATACAAAGGAATGTAGTGCAGCTTAAGGAAGAGTAAGGAAGCTCTTACAGCAAATAATTTAGTCCTCTTTGAGATCTGTTATAGGAAAGAAACAAGATACAAAAGAATGTAAACAGTATACTACTATTTATATAGAAAAATAACTTACAAGTATATATTTGAATATGCCTTTTCTGGAAAAATACATTTTAATATTGCTAACAATGGTTACCTCTGGGAAGGGCAATTAGAAAGGAAGACATAGTTTTTACAGTTACCCTTTGAATTCATATACCATGTACAAATAATAATCTATTCAAAATAAACAATGTAGTTTTTTAAAACCTTTGATATGGGTTTATGTGTAGGGTAAAAAACTACCAAAAACATTGAGACCAACTGCCATTTTAGAAAATTAATTTTATTTTATTTTATTTATTCATCATTTATTTTTATTTGGCCAGAGGGAGACAGAGAGAGAGAGAGAGAAAGAAAGAGAAAGTGAGAAAGCAAGCCACCAGGGCCAGGACTCAAACCGTGGTTGGCTGTGTGGGAGTGTCCAGCGTCTTAACCACACCACCTGCTGGTCCCCAACTGCTTTTTTAAAGTAGAGCAGAGAAGCACTATTGTTCATTGATAGCTTTTCAGTGTTAATTTGAGTTTATCTTTGCACAAATTATTTTCATAATATTTATTATTCTAATTATTTTTTTTAAAACAGTCAATCACTATTTCTCATTTTGCTTGTAAAAAAGACTTTGCCCATCATGAAATACTTCTCAGACCAATCCAGTTGAGAATACTATACATGTCATCATCAACAGTTAATAAGCCATATCTCATAATATTTAGAAATAACTTAAAAATAAGTGAAAATTCTCTCTCGCCTTCATCTAAACTCTCTAAGTGTCAAGTTATCCCTGCCTTGTCTCTTCATTCTTCTATCCCCATCAGCCCTCTCAACTGAAGTTTCAGTTCTTGGCTGCCTTATTCTCTCTCTCTCAAGTGTTTTTGGGTGATTGCATATACCCACCCTGCAGTGTTCCTAGTTGCTGTGCTTAGCTCTGGCTCCGCCATGAACCAAGCCTAGGCTAGGCTCCAGTCTCCATTCACTCTTTCAAACTGTCATATAAGGTGAAGGCACCATAAGAATCAGTGTGTCTGAAGCCAGTTTTCTTTTCTTTCCTTTGTTTAGCTGATTTAGTGGAAAGAAAATCTATATAAATCTATAAGTTGCCAGAAAAATTAATTTCACCTTTGAGTTCATTGTTATTCCCTTATGAAACTTAGAGTGGTGTACAAGGAAAAAATATATAGGCTTTGTTTATTTGCAGATGGCCATATATTCACTAGAACTCAAGCTTCATGAGAGCAAGAATTATTGTCTTATTTATCCATGTATTCCAGGCTCCTAGGATATTGCCTGTATGCAGTCCGTGTTCAGTAAATATTTGCTAAATGAAGGAATAGCTACAGTTAAAATAGGTTAAACCGTAGGTTCTTTATTCCTTAATCTTTAAAATTTGGAGTGATACTTATGGGATTGATTTGAAGATTAAATTAAATAGTGTAAATGCTTGATACATAGAACACATGCAGTAGATGTTTTTCATTTTTTGTTTGTTTGTTTCTGAGAGGTTTTTGTATAGGGCATATGCACTCGCCAGAGAGAGACAGAGAGATGGAAAGTGAGAAATCATCCCCCAGAGGGGATGCCGCAATCTTTTCTCCTCCATTCTCCTCTCGGGATCTTGGGCACGCATGCACGCATACACACCCGCTTAAACCACCAGGTCCAGGACTCTAATAGCAGTCAGCTACATGAGAGTCTAGTGACATAGTCATTACTCCAACTGCTGGTGCCATCATTTTGTTATTTTTAATTCATAATGCCTCAGATCATTTCTACTCCTAATATCACTTGGTTTAGACATTCTATCTCCTGTTTTCCCATCTTTATTCTCATTCCTCCTCCATTCCCTCTATTTTTTTTTTTTTAATTTGCCAAAGGGCCCAAGCATAAGACAGAAGCGAGGGAGAAGGCACCTCCTAAGGGTCATGGCCATACCATAGACTTCCCTCCATCATTTTGTACCCTGTTGAGATTTTGGGTCATGCATTCACATGTATCCCATATATTATTCAAACTGCAGTAGGCCATGTGGGATCTGGCTCCCTTAACCACCAAGCCATGGGACTGGCCTGTATTTGCTTCTTTAAGTGTGTTGACTGCCAGTATGAGCAAAATGTAATATCTTTATTTTGCGATGCTTGAGCACATATGCTTACTACCTATTTTTTTTTAAGAGAGATTTTTGCTATAGGGCATGTGCACTTGCCAGAGATAGAGAGACAGCAAGAAATCACCTCCCACAGGGGATGCCACGCCACCATTGGCTTCTCCTCCATTCTCCTCTTGGGATCTTGGGCCTACATGCACACATGCCCAGCACAACTTTTTAGCTGCCAGTTCCAGGACTTAAACCGCAGTTGACTATGTGAGAGTCCATCAGCATAACCATTACGCCATATGCTGGTCCCGTATGCTTACTATCTATTGGCGTATCTTTTTTTGTGAACTTCCTATTTGTGGTATTTGCTCATCTTTTTAGAGTAGGTTTTTATATTGGCATTTGGAAGTTTTTCTTAAAGATTCTAATCTTTATTCTTGACTTTGTAGATAAGAATTTCTTAAATAGAACATAGGAATCACTAACCATGAAAGATCAATAAGTTGGACTTTATTAAAATTGGAACTTTTTATACAAAAGCAGTTTATAGAAAGAAAGGGCAAGTTACAGACAGGGAGAAGATATTTGCAGTGTATACATCCCACAAAGGGCTCATGTTAAGTACATCCAGAACACATGGGACAGTCCTAAAGATTGTAAATCTTTTTCTGTCATGGGTTGCCAATGTGCTTTCAGTGTTCTCTGTTTATGTCCTCCTACCCTGTTTTGTTTTTGTCAAATCAGAGTTTTCTTTCTTTGTTTTTGGTAGAGGGTATATGTACTCACCAGAGACAGAGAAATGGAGAGGAGAAAGTAACCCCTATGGAGCATGGTCACCCGAAATCCCTTCTTTAGCTCTCCGGGCACATGTGCACATGTGGCATGTTTCTCAAGTTGCTAGGTCAAGGTTCTTAAGGTGAATGCATGGTCATCCATGTAGGATCAGGCTGCCTTAACCACCAAGCCATGAGCCAGCCTCAAAGTTTTTGTTTTTGTTTTTGTTTTTTGGTTTGTTTGGATTTTTGTTATAGGGTGCATGCTGTCCCCAAAGAGAGACAGAGAAAGGGAAAGTGAGAAATCACCGCCCAAAAGGGATGGCCATGCTGCAATGCCTTCACCTCCGTTTTCCTCTCGAGATTTTGGGCATTGGTGCACATGTACCCAGTGTGATTTTCAAGCTGCTAAGTCTGGGACTCACACCACAGTCGGCTATGTGGCAATCCAGCATCTTTACCACTATCACCTGCTGACCTCAAGTTTTACTTTTTTTTTTTTAAGATTTTTTTGCCATAGGGCACGTGTGCTTACTGAGGAGAGAGAGTCTGAGAAAGAGAGAGGGAAAGTGAGAAATCCCCCCACCCCCCAGGGGAGATGGCCATGTTGTAATCTCTTTTCCTCCATCTATTGTGTAGGAGTCCAGCAATGTAACCGTAATGCCATCTACTGGTCCCCCAAGTTTAGCATTTTGAAAGCAGTTCTTTTTACGTATATTTTCTAGCTGTTTACTCTGTTCAATATAATTTATACAAATATGTTCCCTAGCTTTCTTCCCACCCTTTTTAAACTATTTATTTATTGAATTGCTAGATGGTGTATGTGCTTGACATGGGAGGGGTGGGGGAATGCACCCCCAATGAAACATGGTCATGCTACAATCCCCTCTCCATTTTTCCGTCCTGACAGGATTTTGGACACACACAAACATGTTCCTGACATGTTTGTCAAGCTACCAGGGCCAGGACTCAAACCATAGTCAACCATGTAACACAGCTCCATTAATCTCACCAGGTCACAGGGCCAGCCCTGATCTGGAACTTGTCTTGTTTTTGTTTTTACATTTAAATCTCTAATTCTGAAGGGGAGATTATTGTGATTAAAAAGTACTTTTCACAGACCAGTAGATGGCATAATGTTTGCATCACTGGATTCCCACAAAGTCTACTGGGGCTCTAGTCCCAGACCCAGAGGCTTAAAACTCACTCGGGGTGCAAGTGTGTTTGTGCATGCCTAAAACCCTGAGAGGAGAATGGAGGAAAAGGGATTGCGGCGTAGCCATCCCCCCTGGGAGGTGATTTCTCACATTCTGTCTCTTTTTGGTAAGTGCACGCGCCCTGTAGCAAAAATCTCTCAAAAAATAAAAGGTCTTTCCTATTTTACTTCCTAGAAACCTGTGGAAATACTTTAAAATGTATGGTATGATGAGGCTAACAGATCAGGAGATGATTGCCGCTAAGATGGTTTGTTACTCACAGTCCCAAAAGGAGGGAAGCACCACAGTCAGTCTTTCAGGAGGCAAAGGGCTGGCGCCAGAACCTATTGTGGTTTCTGTGGGAAAGGCAAGCTTCAGGGTTGGCTATTTGGAATGTTTCACTGGGTTCTGGCTATAGGGACTGTCTCTAGTTGTATTGTGCCTGGCACTGAGATGATTAGGGCAAAGGAATATTGCTTCCCAGAATATGAAAGTCAAGTAAAAGAGGATCGTGAGCTCTGGGTTACTTAGTTTGTGTGTGGAAGATGCACTCCTGGGTGAGTGATTTCCTCTAATCATTGTCTGGGGTGAGAGGTAGTCTCTCCTGACAGTGAGGCCCTAGATGTCAGAGCATCAAGAAGAGTGAAAATAATACAGTTAATACAGAAGGGGCTATCATTACTGTGATTTTCAGAATTGGAAACTGAAATTGGAAAAGGTTACATAGCTACCCACGGTCACATTTAATAGCATAGCAAGCCAGAATTTAAACTTAGATCTGTATATTTCAACCTCCAGATACTTTCTGCTCTAACGTGCTACTCACAGTCATAATTGGGAAGAACATAAGTAAAGCCTTGAGTCACTGAACACAATTGTCTTTTCAGGAAATACCTAGTACTTTTTTGTTTTTTGAGAGGTTTTTGCTATAGGGCACATGTGCTTGCCAGAAAGACAGAGACAGAGAGACAGAAAGCGAAAAATCACCCCCCAGGGGGGATGACCATGCTGCAGTCCCTTCTCCTCCATTCTCCTCTTGGGATCTTGGCCATGCATGCACATGCACCTGGCATGAGTTTAAGCCACTGTGTCCAGAACTCGAACCACAGTCAACTACATAGGAGTCCAGTGACATAGCCATTATACCAACTGTTGGTCCCAATATCTAGTATTTTGTAGAGGGATTTTCATTAAAACATCATTAGATTTAAAAAAAAATAATGGTTTTTGCCATAGGTTGCATGTGTGTGCTTGCCAGAGAGAAACAGAGACAGTGAGAGGGAAAGTGAGAAATCACCCCCCAGGGGATGGCTACACCATACACAGTTCCTTCTCCTTCATTCTCCTCTTGGGATTTTTGGCACACATGCACCTGGCCTAATTTTCAGGCCACAGGTCTAGGACTCAAACAGCAGTTGGCTGTGTGGGAGTCCAGCACTTTAACCACTACACCACCTGCTGGCCCTAATTTTAATTTTTTTAAATTTCTTTCATGAGAGAGAGAGTTACAAAGACATAACACCCACAGCTGGGTCCTCATGCAACAATCCACCGCCGGCCCCAGCCTGCCCAGATCATGGACCCACATGGACGTGCCTGGTATCTACCAGAATGTAGATAGGACCTTCTCATATGGGTCCAGTTACATTAACATTGTCACTGTCTGCCCCTAACATCGGTAGATTTTGAAGTTTGGGTATTTGAACTAGGGAGTGTAGCACTTACATTGCTTTTATACTTTTTAGACAAGAGTAACCCTGCCTCTGTGCTCTTAGCCTCATGAATTTTGGCCACTTTTGTTCTCTTTGGCTGGGCACCTTTGTTCAGTTCACAACATATTGACCATATAGGTTCAGTGGCCCTATTTAAACAGAAGATTGAGTACCAGATGATTGTCATCTGAATTATATTATTTTACATTTCTGTATGAGAAAATTCACCAGTGTTTGTGTGTCATGGTTTATTAATTAAAGAGTTCTTTAATTTTTTAGATTCATGAGTAAGGAAATAGATTTAAGTTACCTTTTTTCTTCATTTTTTTTTTCAAGAAATATTTAGCACCGTTGGGACTAGCAGCATAATGGCTCTGTCGCTGAACTCCCACGTAGTAGACCACGGTTCAAGTCCCAGACCCGGTGGCTTAAACTCAACGCTGGGTGCATGTGCGTGCATGCCAAGATCCTGAGAGAATGGAGAAGGGATCGTGGCATGGCCATCCCCTCTGAGGGATGATTTCTCACTTTTTGTCTCTCTGTCTCTCTCTGTCTTTCTGGCGAGCGCACGGGCATGCACCCTATAGCAATAAAAACCTCTCTCCAACAACAAGAAGAAACATTTAGCACCTTGTCTGTGTCAGGCACTGTTCTAGGGACTTAAATATATCAGTGAACAAATGGACAAAGAGCCCCATCTTTGTAGAGCTTATTGTCAAGAAGACAAGTACAAATAATAAATAATAAAGTAGAAATACAGGATAAGGGATTTGGTGGGTGTAGAGGGTGAGTAAGATGGAGAAACCTGAAGCATTAAGGAGAGTAGAGGGCCAGCCTCATTTAAAAGTAAGATTTAAGCAGAGACTCAAAGGGGAGTCCTGTGTATGTGAGAGAATGCTTCCACCATGTTTGAGTAACAGCAAGGAGGCTGTTGTGGCTCTGGTAGGATGAGCCTGAGGGACACTCAGGACAAGTCCAGGAAGTGAGGTAAAGTGACTGAGGGCACTGAGGAGTGTTGAAAGGACTGTGGCTGTTACCTAGAGTAAAAGGGGATCAGAGGAGTCATGATCTCAGCCATAAAAGTATCATTCTGATTACAGAGCTGGGATCTGAGACTCTTCTGCAGTGGGGCAGATGTCAACATGTAGCCATCATGTCTGAGAACTGGGACAGGTAATAGTGAAAATGGCAGGAAGTTGTCAGATCTAGTTTTGGGAAACTGTTCATCAGAATTTCAAATACACACACACTCACACTTTTGCTGAAAACATTTTGTTTTATTTTTTCCTAGATACTTTTTCAAATATGTTTTAAAAACTGAGTGTAAAAATGTGTATTTAAGTGTACCTGAATTGTACTTGAGTTAAATGTTCTTGTCTGTTTTCTCTTTTGTGTGTTTGAGAAAGTGTTATAGATTAGAGCAACATCATAGTATTACCTTAAAACATAAAGGATTTACCAAACTAGTGCTCAGGGTAATTTTGTGTAAAAATGGATTCTTAATACACTGTCTCTATTTGCACAAGCTTTGCCGCAGGAAATCTACAGAGAGTTGTCCAAAGGTAAAATGCATCATCGCCATGACATTCTCATGATCTCTTCTGTAATGTTTATACTGAATATCTGTAATAAAAAGTTGCTTTATAAGATGGCAAGATGAAAATAAATCCCTTGATCTGTTTAGAAGGTATCAAGGTTACTCTGGGAGAAATAAGAGAAAAATAAATGACAGAATAATTTAATGCTAATAACCTTCCTTCTAGTCAAGCAGGACAACCTCGTGCTCTGGTGGAATAGGTGATTTGCCTATGTGGTTTTACTTTAAAAGCTAACATTTAAAGATATCCTTCTCTTCCTATTAACAGATACTAATTTCTTTTGGATTAAGACTTTGCTTCTGTTAAATTACATGTAGCCATAAGGGAGAATGCTAGAAAAGCTGTTTTCACTCAGTAGTACCTTGCAGTAAATGTATTTTTCAGAATTACTAAATTATATACAAAGGTTCTATAGTAAGAAACAAGGATAAAAAGGCTAGGACTCAAAGTAGCTGAGAGCATGTTGCACTGATGTTCTGAAAATAAAGATTAAAGTATAAAAGTAAAACTTTAATATATTACACTTAGTTTTTGATTAGCAGCATGTCAGTATAATAAGCAAATACTTCAGCATGGATGGGAGGAACCCCTTATATATTCTGAATGTTGGGAAAAGCTTTGAATGTACATATGCATAAGGTACAAAAGAAACCTGTTGCATGTAAGATTTCATCTTTTTATTTTATTAGGAAAAGTATTGCTAAGCTTTTTAAGTGTTTAATAGCATTTTTAAAAATGACTTTAGAATTTGTCAACAGTAATAAAACATGGCAGTTTAAAATTTATAATCAGGAAATTTGGGTTTTAGCTAACAAGTAGATTTTGGAATATTTATGTAGGCACAGAAATCTTCTACACAGTTTCAGAAGAGCTCACAAACTATTGGTTCTTATCACAGTAAAGTTAAAAAAATGAAAATGGTTCTTTCTAACCTCTTGTGTAAGCAAGTCTGCTTTGATAATACTAATTCTTTATTTTGCAGTCGTTGGTTTGGAATATATTATCAAATTTATGTTATTATTCATATTTGACAATTTTTTTTATGAATTCAACAATGTTTAGGCAGAACTAAATTATGTGTTATATTTTAGAGGTTGACTATTCTCAAAACTAACTCTTTTTTTTTTTTTCCTCAGAATGAACTGACAGATACACGTGCAAAATTCCATGTACTTTTTCTTTTCTTTGTCTCTGCAATGTTCTTCATCAGCGTCCTTTCACTTTTTAGTTACCACTGCTGGTTAGTTGGAAAAAATAGAACAACAATAGGTAAGTAGATTAAAATAAATAATCATTATTTTGGAAAATATTACAAATGAATATGAAATCTGGAGAAGGACAGTATTCAGATGATAGTAAAATAATCCTGGATTAAAATTATCTGTGGGTGGATCTAGCCAGTGGTGTGGTTTAGGAATCTGGATCCCACATGGCCACTGTGAAATTTGAGCCCTGGACCTGGCAGCTTGAAAAGCATGCCAGGCACTTGTATGTGTGCCCTAAATTCATACAGAAGAAGTGGAGAGCTTACAGCATGACTAGCCCCATTGGGGTGCTTTTTAACTTTCTCTCTCTCTCTCTCTGTCTCTAACAAGTGTACATGTCCTCTAGCAGATTTTTTAAAACTTAAAAAAAAATTTTTTTGCCTTTGTTTTTGTCATAGGGGGCATACACTTTATAGGAGAGAGACAGAAAGAGGGAAAGTGAGAAATCCCTTTCGGAGGGAATGGCCACGTTGTGGTCCCTTTTCCATTTTCCTCTTGGGATCTTAGACATGCACGCACATACAACTGGCATGATTTTTAAGCTGCCAGGTCTAGGACTTGAAACACAGTTAGCCATGACTGTGGGAATCCAACACCTTAACCACTGTGCCACCTATTAGTCCCTAAGTTAAAAAAATTTTTCAATAGAATCATTTATTTTAATTTTTTTTTTTAAATTTGACAGAGACATACAGAAAGAGAGAGAGAAAAAGTGAGAAAGCAAGCAACCAGGTCTGGAATTCGAACAATGGTCAGCCATGTGGGAGTGTCCCTAACCATGTCCCTAACCACCATGCTACCTGCTGGTCCCCAAGTTAAAATTTTTTTTAAATTAAACAAAATTATCTGTGATTAGATAGGAATAATGAGTATATAATAATAATGTGAAGGTTCGTTATTTAAAAGAAGATTAAGAAAGTGATTTGATTTTATTTTCTCAGCAATCCATTGTGTGTATGTATATATAAATATACACACACACATAGCCAGCAGGTGGCGTGGTGGTTAAGGTGTTAGAATCCCACATGGTGGGATTCTCAAAACCTGGTAGCTTGCTTTCTCACTCCTCCTCTCTGTCTCTCTCTCTCTCTATCTCTTTCTGGTGAGCACATATGCCCTATAGCCAATAAAAAAATGAATAAATAAATAATTATTTTAAAATATATATTTGAAAGATAGGCTATAGTAGATAACTGTGCTTTTAAGGAGGTTCATTCTCAGCAATAAGAATTTGTAAGCTTTCATAATAGCTCATCTTTGGGACCAGCAGTTAGCGTAATGGCTATGTCACTGGACTCCCACGTAGTGGACCGCGTTTCGAGTCCCGGACCCGGTATCTTAAACTCATGCCGGGTGCGTGTGCATGCGTGCCCAAGATCCCAAGAGGAGGATGGAGGAGAAGGGAATGCGGCGTGGCCACCCCCCTGGGGGGTGATTTCCTGCTTTCTGTCTCTCTGTCTCTCTCTGTCTGGCGAGCGCACACGCCCTATAGCAAAAACCTCTCAAAAAAAAAAAAAAACATAGTAGCTCATCTTTTAGCTAAAATACTGATATTTCATGTATATTCTTTACTCCCCCCCCCCACAGTTGTACATTTGAGTGGCATGTGTTCCGTGATTAAAGTTAAGGAACAGTGCTTTTGATATGTTTCATTATTTCCATCATTGGGCCCACTGTCAGTATCATTAGTATAAATAAAGCTGATTTATTTCTTTCTTTGCTCATTTTTTAACATGAAAATATAGGAGTAGAACTTAGTAAGCTGTTCAGTTAATTGAACAAACACTTCCTAAACAGCAATGTAGACATTACTCACACTGAGCTATTGGCGTGTGTGCAGCACCATTGTATTATAATTGAAATATTTAGGTAACTGCTAATGTACCAAGATACAAAACAGTAATTTCTTATTCCAATGTTTTGTAAGAACTTCTTTTTTTATTTTTTAAAAGAGATTTTTGCTATAGGGCGCATGCACTTGCCAGAAAGACAGAAAGCGAGAAATCACCCCCACTCCCCCCACAGGGATGGCCACTCCACAATCCCCTTTTCCTCTGGGGATTTTGGGCATGCACGCAAACATGTGTGAGTTTGTTTTGTTTTGTTTTGTTTTGTCTTTTAAGAATTTTTTTAAAATTTGACTTTATTTATTTATTTTAATTTGACCAGAGAGGGACAGAGTGAAAGAGAGAGAATAAATATGAGAAAGCAAGACGCCAGGTCTGGGACTCGAACCATGGTTGGCCATGTGGGAGTCCAGTGCCCTCAACCACCATGCCACCTGCTGGCCCCTGTGCCTGGCGTGAGTTTCAGGACACTGACTGGGTCTGGGACTCAAACTGTGGTCGACTATGTGGGAGTCCAGCAACATAACCATTATGCCATCTGCTGGTCCCTTGTAAAAAAGTTAAAGGCCACCTGGCATCTAAAGCCATGTGTCTGCCAGGAGAATTGGAAGGAAACAGTTTTTAATCTAGAATGATGAAAAGATTTTAGGGAGACATTTAGATACTTTCTTATTTTGATCAGTCACATGTGATACGGAGTCCTTGAGTTGTGGTGGGTTTCTAGTGGATTAATTTCTCTGCTTTTTCCTCTAACTCACCCTCTATTGTTGAGCTCTCCTTTTCTAATTCTATCATGCTTTCATCCCTTTTCCATGTAAATAAAGTTACTTGTCACTATTAACTATTTTTTTCCCTTTTCACAGAATATCCTGTCATGTCCTTAACCATAATTGAACACAACAAAAGTCCAGCCCTTAAGACTTCACACAACAGCTAAAAACCAGAGATTTCACATAGAAAACCAACCTTTTTCTTCTCAAAATAAATAAATCTGGGCCAGCAGGTAGTGTGGTGGTTAAGGAGCTGATCCCACATGACCAACTGCACAGTTCAAGTCCTGGTCCTGGTGGCTGGATAAACATGCCCATGCATGTGCATGCGTACCTAAAATTTCCAGAGGAGGATGGAGAAGAGATTGCTTGTATGGTCATCTCTCCCATGGGATTTCTCATTTTCTGTCTCTCCAGCAAGTGCACACACCTTATAGCAAATGTTAAAAAAAATAGTAATACAAAATTTAAAAAGAATTAATAAATCTGGTCATGATGAGCTCATTTTTCTATCTGGCATATTTCATGTGGAGCTGAGTGCTTCGTGGACCCTTTTCTTAGCCATAGTTCTCACCAAGCAAGCTTCATCTTGTTTCCATCCCAGCCCCTGCAGGGATTTAGAGATAGATGCTTATGGGAACACACTGTTCCCTTTGAACAGTTATTTTCAAATGTTTTTTTCTGGTAATCATAGTAAGAAATAGATCATTTTATATCATGAACTAATACATGTACACTCTTACTTATAAAATTATGTGTACAAGCAGACATTCCAGAGAACATATTAATCTCTGTGCATGTACTAAAATATATTCTGCTCTAGTTTCTTAAAAGAAAATGCTGCTACAAGGCAACTAAATTGATTGTGTGGCCTGTTAAGGTGTTAGAATCCACATCTTTCTTTTTATACTTTTGGAGAGGTTTTTGCTATAGGGCACATGTGCTCGCCAGACAGGCAGACAGAGATAGAGAGACAGAAAGCGAGAAATCACCCCCCAGGGGGGATGGCCATGCCGCAATCCCTTCTCCTCCATTCTCCTCTCGGGATCTTGGGCACGCACGCACACGCGCCCGGCGTGAGTTTAAGCCACCGGGTCTGGGACTCAAACCACGGTCGACTACGCGGGAGTCCAGCAACATAGCCATTATGCTAACTGCTGGTCCCATAATCCACATCTTTGAAAAAGCATTACCTGGGTTTGGCTGGTGGTGTGGTGGTTGAGGTGCTGGACTTCTACATGGTTGACCATGGTTCAAGTTCTGGACTTGATAGCTGCTTTCTCACTTTCCCTTTCTCTCTCTGTCTGTCTCTGGTTAGATTGGAAAATAATAATAAATAAAAATAAATAAATCATTATTTTTAAAAACAAAAGAAAAAGCATTACCTTAGCATACCACTTTATACCCTTGTCTTTCTACCCCTGGTCTTTGGTTGGTCTCCACTTCTAATTCCAACTTTTTGTTCTTCTGTCCTATCCTGTGAGGGTATTTTTTTCTGCTATATCACCCCTGCTATTCTTTTTTTTTTTTTTCTCTGTAGGGTGCATGTGTTCACTGGATATTTGGGGTGGTGATGGAGAGGGAGAGAGAAAGTGAGAAAGCATCTATCAGGGGGATGGCTGTGCCACAACCCCTTCTCTGTTCTCCTCTCAGGTTTTTGTTCACATGCATACATGCCCAGCATGTTTTTCAAGCCATCCAAGTCTGGGACTTGAACCATGGAGTTGGCCTTTTGGTATCCAGTCACCTCAACCACCATGCCATTGGCTGTCCTACCACCACCATTTTTTATAACTGTCACCCAGCTATCTTCGAATTATTTCCCTTTTTACATTTAATGACTTTCTGTATCCCAAATGGGCACGCTAGTCCTTTTGCTTCTGGTGGTCACTTATTCCTAGAACCACACATTGAGCCTTTGTTATAATTTGGAACTGAAAAGCCTCTGCAAATAAAATTTTAAAGTTAAATATTTCATATTCTGACCACAGTACTTTATTCTGCTCTTCCGTTTTTGTACACTAATATACTCTTTATAGTTTTTGAGTCCTCCATTCCCCGAAACTTTCATCTTAGTCTGTTCTTGCTAACAAATAAATGGCATTGAGTGATTATAAAGAAAATAGGTTTGTTTATAAAACTGAAGATTCCCATGGCTGGAAAGTACAAAAGCATCACAAAATGGCAGGCAGAACTTTCAGCAGAGCAGAATGTGGTCCATAACCATGAGTTTTTCTCTCTTGTTCTGGTCTATATCCACATGTCTTCTTTTCCTCTTTTATTGACTCATTTCCTCTGCTTTTATACACACCAGAATTCAGTCATGGGGGGCCTGTCCTGCTGAGTGTCATAACCACGGACCTTGCCCTGGGACACCATGAAGATGTGAAGTTTTCACTTAACACTCCAACAATACAGTCAAGTCTTAATACCTGAACCTTTGGTAGACATCTAGTAATTACCCACTAAGACCAAATTCTAAAACATGAGCTCCTGGGGGACAAACCACCATTCAAACCATAACAGCTACCCTCCCCTCCCAAGTTTTTTTTTTTTCCTTTTGGTTTCATTTCTCACCCTTCTCTGTTCTAGGCTTTTTTTTTTTTTTTTTTTTTTTTTTTTTGAGAGGTTCTTGCTGTAGGGCGCATGCGCTCGCCAGAAAGAGAAAGACAGCAAGTGAGAAATCCCCCCCCCTCCAGGGGAGATGGCCACAATCCCTCCTTCTCCATTCTCCTCTCAGGATCTTGGGCACGCACGCACACGCACCTGGTGTGAGTTTAAGCCACCAGGTCCGAGACTCGAACCGCGGTCGACTACATGGGCGTCTAGCAATATAGCCATAATGCCAACTGCTGGTCCCTTCATTCTAGATCTTATGATACATGATTTCAACCATTCTTGGTAGCATCCTTACTACATCTTCTGTCTCTTGGCCTTCCCCCATCATTCCTGTGGTAGTTCAAGGCCTGGGTTATGGTGCTACCACTTTATCCATAGGTATAGTGGAGCTATTGAAAACCAATGAAGGAAATGTCACTCCCATAGAGGTTGTTACAACTACAGAGTTAATGCTTCAGACCTTACTGACAGAACAGTCAAGGGTCAAATGGGAGGACAGGGCCAGACCAGGTAAATATGTGGAAAAAGAACACACAGCAGGCTCTAGAAGGAAGGGTAGGGAGAAGGGGAGAGGAAACAGAGTCCTGTTTCACCAGGCTTCCGGGTATCCTACAATCCAGTCAGATTGGTATTCCAAATTAATCATAATACCTAATTTATCCTTAGGTACCAAATACCCAGTACTGTACCGTCAGGAACAGGATAATAACAGGAAGTTCATACATAAATAAAATTAAAAGAGTCACAATATCTTAAGGGGAAAAAAAGGTATTTCAGATATACTTCAGTGGATTTTCAGTAATAATTAGATAATTACTTTGAAATCATATAAAGTTGATAAAATATTAAATGTGCTATTTTTTCCCAGATAAGTTTCAGAAATTTTTATTTTAATCATTACAAATATGTTATTATTTAAAACTATGTTCATAGTTTTTTATCTTAGGTATAAGCAGAAAGTTGATATTTTGTATCCCACCTATTATTTTTAAATAAATTAGTTTTTTGTACCTATCTGTTTAACAGAATCATTCCGTGCACCCATGTTTTCCTATGGGCCTGATGGAAATGGTTTCTCTCTTGGATGCAGTAAAAATTGGAGGGAAGTCTTTGGTGATGAAAAGAAATATTGGCTACTTCCAGTATTTTCAAGGTAATCTCTAAAATGCAGGTCTCAGAAATTATGAATCTGTGGTAGTCTCTGTCTGTGGTTAAATTTCTTAAGATTCAGAGACTAGACTATATAATGACATTTTTATGAGCCTTCAGAATGAAAACTCAGGATATCTGAGTTTGGTCACATATAATCTATTTTATTCTTTTGCCTTTTTTTTTATTTTTAAGAGAGATTTTTGCTATAGGGCATGTGCTCTTGCTAGAGATACAGAGATACAGAGAGACAGAAATCACCTCCCGGGGGTAATGGCCACACTGCAATCCCTTTTCCTTCATTCTTCTCTTGGGATTTTTTTGGGCACGCATGCCAGGCGTGAGTTTCAAGCTGCCAGGTCCGGGACTTGAACCACAGTCAACTATAAGGGAGTCCAGCAATGTAACCATTATGCATCTGCTGGTCCCTGGATTTTTTTTTTTTTAACACCAGAAGGTGGGTACACTCATGGGAATAGGGCATAAAAAGCACTATCCTACCCCCATTGGAGTGTGGTCACGCCATAATCTCTTCTCCATTTCTCCATCCTTTTGGGATTTGGAAAATGTATGCACATGGGCCCAGTGTGTCTTTCAAGTCACCAGGGTTGGGACTCAAACTGTAGTTGGCCATGTGGGATCTGGCTCCTCCAACTACCAAGCCATGAGGCCAACCCCATTTTTTAATTACATAAAGGAGAATATGAGCATATATTTGAACAGAAAGTAGGAAAAAAAATGACTCTTAAAAAATAAGAGTCACTTTTCTTTTAAAATGAAAATAAGTTGTTTGAAGTAAAGAATCATAAAAATGTATAATCTAATTAGTCATAGCTTCAAAGATTCCATCACAGACATGAATTAATATATTCTGTTATGTCTTAGATGAGAAACACAATGCAGTTTTACCTTAAATGTAAATAAGAATTGATCAAGATGATTCAGTTTCCATTTCTTCCTAACTCCCAGAGAAGATATTTGAAATTTATATGACATATTGGTACGAGTTGTAGGATTTTTCTTAATTAACTGAATTGCCTTGCTCTGAAAATGAATTATTTTGGCTGCTGCTGCTGCCTTTTTTTTTTGGGGGGGGGGGGGATGGAGAGAAAGTTCTTATATACACTCTGCTTGAGTTGGGAAGGAAAGTGAGAGAGAGATACTTTTGAAAGGGGCTTACTGTGGCAGCCCTTTGTCCCAGTTTCCTAGTTAGCTAGGATTAAAGGCACAAGCTGCTGCACTCAGCTAGTTCAGGTTAGTCTAAGATATAAAACTGGGTTTATAATGTCCCAGCTTTACACAGCAGTGCCCTGCCACTTGTGCCACTGGTGCTAAGCCCTAATTTTGCCTTCATTTTTGAAGGACATTTTTATTTATTTGGTGTAGAATTCTAGATCTTAATGTACTATAATCTGTATGCACTTTTTCTGATAAGAATTTTTTAGTCACTCTTAGGTTCGTTATTGTGTGTGTGTGTGTGTGATGTCTTTTTTCCCCCAGCTCCTTTTAAGACTATCACCATTTTCATGTAAGCTGATTATGTTGTACCATGGTTTCATTTTCTTTATGTTTCTTACGCTTATGGATTGGTTGAGCTTTTTGTATCTTTGGTTTTCTAGCTTTTGTCAAATTTGGAAAAAAATCATTAACTACTATTTCTTCCATTTTTTTTCTATCATCTCTTTCCCATTACTGCAGGGATTCTAATTACACAGGTTTTAGTCCACTCACAGTTCTCTAGTTCAGTGATTCACTGTTATTTTTTTGTTCGGTCTTTTTTTCTGTTTCATTTAGTACAGATCCTATTGCTCTATCTTCCAGTTCACCAGTCTCTTTTGTGTTTTTGTCCATTGTCTCTTGCATTCCACTCCAACTGCTAGAACAAAGACTGTTTTGAGGTTATTTTATCTAAAATAGATTTCAAAGTTGACAAGTTTTGTTTTTTCAATTCCTCCCCCCTTTAATTTAAAGATGTTTCATTATTTTCTGATGTGCATTATTTCTGACAAGAAATCAGCCTTACTCTTACTTTTATTTCAATCTTCATAAATTACTAGTTTTCTTTGCCTCCGGCTACTTTAAAGGTTTTGTCTTTATCACTGGTCTTAAGTAGTTTGATTGTGATGATCCTCGGTGTTCCTTAGGCTTCTTGGATCTATGAATTTATAGTTTTTATCAGATTTTAACAACTTTTGTCTATTGTGTCTGCAGTTTTTTTTTCTGTTTACTCCTCCCCTCACCAGCTTTCCTTATACTCTAAAGTAAACATATATTTAATTGCTTGATAATGACCCAGAAGATCATGATTCTTCTGTCTTCTTTCCCCTCACCATCTTTCTTTCTCTTTTTGCTTCATTTTGGTTAGTTTCTAATATTGTGTCTACAAAAGAGATCACCAATCTCTTCTGTAATGTTGAGTCTACTGGTAAGCCATTCTGGTGAATTTTTAATTTCAGATATGTTTTCAGCTCTAGTTCACTTTTTTCTAATATATATATCTTATATGCCTTTATTATATCCATTTTTTCTTTTAATTCCTGAACATATTTATAAACTCCGGGGTTTTTTTCTTTTCTTTTTTTTTTTCAATAGGGCCTGTGTGCTTGACAGAGAGAGAGAGAGTGAGAAGTCATCCCCCAGGGAGAATGAACACATATACTCCCTTCTCCTCCATTCTCTTGGGATTTGGTCATGCACATACATGCGCCTGACATGTTTTTCAGGCTGCCAGGTCCAGGGCTTTAACCATGAGGTTGGCTATATGGGATCCAGTGCCTTAACCACCATGTTACCTACTAGCCCTGAATCTCTGTTTTAAAGTCTTCATCTGTCTTCAATGAAATTGATAATTTTTTTTTCTTTTTTTTTTATTTTTTTTTATTTTTATTTTTTATCATCATATCTTCTTCATATTACATTGGATTACATATAACTTTACTGTGTGTTACATTGTTTCTTCAAAAGGGAATGCCATGCACGGCAGTCAGTACAGAGACATTAATCTCCCCACTTCAACATTCCATATCTTTTCTGTTTTCCCCAATCATTATCTTTATTATTCTAATTATTTTTATAAAACAGTCAATTGCTATTTCTCGTTTTGCTTGTAAAAATACTTTGCCCATCATGAAATACTTCTCAGACCAATCCAGTTGAGAATACTATACATGTCATCATCAACAGTTAATAAACCCTATCTGTTTCTCACTGACGTCCTGTCTCTCTATT